CTGAAAAATATTAAAATTTTAGATCTTTTGATATTCATTTGATTTTGTTTTCAATGAAAATTGTCAATTAAATGAATGAATTTTTTTTACAATTGTGGATAGAATTTGTTTTCATTGCAAAAAATAAAATAAAATAAATAAATAAATAAACCTAGGAACCCCAATTCTCAATAAAATCAAAGGAATTGGAATTCCTTACAAACCAAGAAAATGGCATCATGTAAGGCAGAAGTAGAAAAGTAATTCTATGGATAATTTCGGTTATCAAACAACACAAATTGGATTCCATTTTCCATGAGGTATCAAACAGGCCCTTAATTCTTTCCCATATATTCTCTTTTTTGTTTTATCCACAGAGTCATGTTGGTTTTTCCAATTGAATTGTGCAAGATTATTTATAAACATTGGTCCTTCAACTTTGTACAAATATTTATTTGAGTCAATCTCAACAATGTGTTTGAAAAGTAATGATTTCACTCTACAAATTTACCAACTTCAAGGGATTTCCATTGAGGCTTCGTATCTGGTTCGGTTTGAAGCAGCACTTAATTACTAGGTTTGATCTAAAAGAATATTAATGATGATCATATATAAATTTCTTTAGTTCGAATTGGATTAAAATCACAAAGTACGTTTGTTTTTTTTATTTCTTAATTCAATTAGATCCTCTAATCTCTCGTTATTTATTGAAAAGGAAAAACATCTTTGATCAAACATGAGAAATACTGCCAACTTTTAGTCTGCCAGACACAATGGAGTGCTCGAGGTAACTACTGTCTTGTCAGGGACGGATCTAAGGGGGACTAAGTTGGGCTGTAGTCGCCCCCAAAGCCCAAGAATTTATTTATTATTGTTTTTTTGTAAAACAGTTTTTTATGTGTAATTTTTTTTCGCGTATTAGCTCGATTTGAAATTTTATAGTCCGATCTTGAATCCAATTTTGGATCCGAGCTACATGTCCTATTTTAGTGATAATGAGTTATTCGCTCATTTTCAAAATATTCGGCAAAATCATCAAATTAGAGATACGATGAAAAAAGTTGAAAACATAAATTAAAAAAATAAATAAATAAATTAGAAACCTTCATATATTTCCGTCTATTCAGGTGCGGATCCAGCCGTTTTGGGTTGTGGGGTCAAAAGTTTAATACATCGTATCTTTTGCTATGGTCGATCATTCCGTACACCATTAAGAAGCGAAAAAGTAGGCCATGAATGCTTAGAAATGATATTAAGAATGCAATATTTCGTTTTTTATTTGGTATGTATGAAAGTGGGTCAAAAACGAGTTAAAATAACCATTTTTTGAAGGGAAAAAAAACTCAAAATTTTGTGGGGTCATCTGACCCCACATGATCCCATGTGGGTCCGCCCCTGCGTCTATTCAAAAGGAAATTGCAAGTCAAATGTTTCTGTTTTGCCCTTGGAACCAAAAATCAGTATATTCTGTATTCCTTTCCCTCCAAGAAAATATCCCATACACCAACTCGGCGTGCATCCCCTTGAAATTAGATATTTTTCTGAAATTAAAAATTGTCTTTTGTCACATTATAAGCCTGTTTGGTATCCATTATTTTTGAAAATGCATTTTTCTCTCTCTTCATTTCAACCACACATTTTTTATTAAAATAATATTACACGTAAATCAAAAACTTTTCCTTATTTTTCAACCACACATTTCCCATCAACTTACTATTCAAAAATGCATTTTCACAAAAAAATCTCTACCAAACACCCTCTATATCATTATTTCATAAACTCTAGCAATTAAGTTCACTTATTTCTAAATTACGATAAACTGTTCATCAAGGCAAATATTGAATCCCTCCGAACTACAATTTCAACTTCTGAGTTTAACACAACTAGAGATTTATGGTGTCAAGATGTTCGTCCGTAACAATAAATTATGATATAGTTGATTGAACAATAACAATACGGGTACGTTTGATTACGATTATGGAATTTGCATGAAATGAAAATAAATTTCAGACAATTCAATTATTTGGAACTTATTTGTATAGCAATTAGTAATTATATGTATTTGATTGATTTAATTTTCAACCTATAAAATTTTATACTTGTCCATTTTTTATTGTGGATAAATGAGAGAGAAAAAAACGAATTACCTGAAAAATAAAAGTATCCCTCCTCAAAGAAATTTTTTTCCTTATTTTTTAGGAAAATATGGTGATCAAAAGTTGAAAAATATTTTCCATGAAAAAAAATTACAACTAAACACCCCAAAAGTAATAATTTGGAAGGAAAAATAACAATTTTCATCAAAATAAAGTTAATCAAACACACTCTACAAAATCATCCTAAGATAGGGATGTCAATCAGGCTCGCCTACTCGGACTACCTGTGGCTCGACCTGGAAAAAGTCCAAGTCGGCTCGGATTGAGGCTCGATAGATCAGAGCCAAAGCTCAGGCCGAGCCCCATTTTAGAGGCACAAGCTTTACCCGAGCTGGCCCGTAAGCCGGCAAGCTTTTACAAAAAAGATAAAAATAAATAAATAAATAAATAAAAATTACAACAACTTATAAGTGGCAGTAAACTGCTGCCTCAAAAGACAGTTTTTACTGCCTTTAGAAGGCAGCAGAAAAACTGCCTTAAAAGTTTGCTGCCTTTTTAAGGCAAAAAGGCAACTGCTTTATTAAAAAAATAATAATAAATAAAATAAAATTGAGAGGGAAAAACCGGCCTGTCCGGCTCGGACTCTAGAAAAAGCTCGACCATTTTAACTGAGCTGAACTCGAGCCTCAAGTTTTGGCTCGCGAACCGGCTCGACTCATTGACATCCCTATCCTAAGGTAGTAATTCAAATTTGATGATGAGTTTGTTGGATACTTAGTGATATACATGATGTACAAAAATCGAATATGAAAATGGGAAGAAGAATTTTTTTTTTTTTATTTAATACTTTTACACTATGTTTCACGATTTGCACTTGGCAATTTTAATTTTTTTGGAGATCGGACTTAACTTCTTTCTGGTAATATATTTTTTTAATAATTAATAAAACATGCATAAGCCTGTTTGGGAGTGATTATGAGAATCGATTTTTTGATCGTTAGAAGAAAAGTGAGGTCCATTTGTGAGAGAAGAAGTCAAATATGACGACTGAAATAGTGAAATAACGATCAAAAAATCAATTTTTTGGAGAAAAAAATCACTTCCAAACAGGTTCATATGAAGCAATAAAATATCTCCTGGTACCATATTTCTTTAATTGTTAATAAAAACGTTCCACTAGGGTCATTGGAAAAAAAAAAAAAAAAAATTCTTATATGAAGCCATAAAAGAATTTATTAGAAATTATTATGTAATTCTCTTCTCCAGAGTTCTACAGAGAGGGCAAAAAAATTGTCCAGAACATATGAACCATCAATGCCTTTAACTGACATAAGAGCTACAAAATTACGTATTGCCTTACCGATCAAAAAATTATAAAGACCGATCAAAAAAAAATAAAATTACGTATTGCCTTTTCCAAACCACATCTTTGAATAGATAACACGGTAGACTTCGAAACAATGCCTTGACTACAGAGTACGGAGTAAGAATTTCTTCTATCATTTGCTGCAATAAACTCATTGAATCGCTCATCTTCATCTTCTCTTCTTAGGTACGCATTTCGTACTATTTTTTGGTCGATCATTTCTTTTGTGTGTTTGATACGTGAATTAATTATATATTTTCGTTGATTTTCGCGTTGGCGTGTGTGTGTGTTGTGTATAGTCTGCTGTATGCACGTAAAGGTGTATATATTATGTGCAATGAATATACCATCGTTATTTTAGATTCTAATGTTAGCATCATACAATTTTAAGTATGAATTTATTGTCTAAAGATTCATTGTGCGAGCAACTGAATAATTGAACGATATAGATTAGTCACATTTTCTTCACTGTAATGAATATAACGCTCTGTTTTTCAAAATTGATTTTATAAGCTCGTGATTGTTAGTTAATAGTCATAAGAAAATAATGGTAAGAGTTAAATAGAGAGAACAAAAAATTCTGCTACAGAGGTGAATTTCATATCCATGTTCTTGTGAAGACAACGGAAGAGGAACTTTCTTGGATTACTTGCTGTTATGAAACTAAAATTTTTAAAAAATATTATTTGAACATTGAGAAAGAGTACCGGCAACAGTGATCTATTGCAGGAGCAGAGCAAATTACTAATCTCTAAATTTGATCTTTAGTCACCTTTTTTCTTATGAGTTGAGGTGTAGGATTAGACCTCGAAGTCATATTGGAGAATAAACAAAATTGAATTCGATTCAACATAATAGGTTAGTAATTTAAACATTGACTATTTACTCTGCCTTTGAAAAATGATCAGTAGAAGCAAATAATTTCCATGTTCCATTGTGATTTAGTATTTACAATTAAAGTTCATAAACTTTTGAATGGAATTTAGAAATAAAAATAGAGAAGTGTCCAATAGAGCATTCATAAATTTTAAACAATAACACTGTGTGTTTGAACTGGAAATCAATCTTTGCAAATGAATCTAAAAGTTGGAAGATTTGGAACTGGGTCCTTTGTGTACCATTATACAGCTATTTGTATGATCTAGTTTTTGTAGGCTTAATGAACTACAAAAAATATTCTCAATGAAATTAAGGCCATTGAAAGAAGGAAGAAATCTGAGCTAAAAGATAGTGTGAGAGGACAAGCAGTTGATAGTGCTGAAATGGTCTATTGTGGAACACACAAAAGATTTTGAAAAAACATCATAACAGTAAATTAGAGAAGTTATCTTGTTCTCCAAACTGATTTTTTCCCCAGTTTTTATGCTTTAATTAATTATAGACTTGCTATGCAGTGTGTTGTTCACTGTTGTCCAAACTGGCTGTAGTCATACATCAACAGCTTGTTCAATTATGCTATCCTAGCTGTGTGCTAAGGTTGAGAAGTCTTTCAAAATGGCTTCAAGAGCAATATTGCGAAGAAAACGTTATCTTTTTTATTCCCTTAATCGGACCTCTAACTTGGTCCATCTAGGGTGCCTGATTCATGGAACAGGAGCTGCGTTGTGAGTTATTCATCTTCAAATGGAGATCACACGGCCAAAGAAGATTCAAACTCTCTAACCAAAGATGTGGCACCCTCTACATTGACAGCTGGAATTATTTGGCATAGGTTTTCTGAGGCTTCAACACTGAGTTATGAAATCAGAAAACCAGGGGTTCTTTTTCCCCTGGCATTGGGGTGGAAAAAAGAATATGCACATTATTCTTCGACTGCTGCAGCAGGCCAGCCTGAATTTAATAGTGACGATGATAAGAATGAAGAACCAAAGATTAAGCAGAAAAGGGAAGCTTCACCTGAGGAATGTGACCAGGCAGTTGAAGGTTTGAGCACAGTCAAAGCCAAAGCGAAAGCCAAGGCCAAGCAGCTGCAAGAATCACAGAAGCGTGCTGAATCTGTACTGAGGAAAATGTGGGCTATGCTTTTAGGGATTGGTCCAGCTTTTAGAACTGTTGCTTCTATGAACAGGTAAAGTTTTTGTGTTCTTGTTTTTTAATGCTGAAATACTAGTCTTTAGTATCTCTTACTAAGTCCTTGTCTTTATTCAGGGAAGATTGGGCAAAGAAGTTTCAACACTGGAAGGATGAGTTTAAATCAACATTGCAACATTACTGGTTGGGTACGAAGCTACTTTGGGCTGATGTTAGGATAAGCTTAAGGCTGTTGCTGAAACTTGCTGATGGGAAGACTCCATCCAGGAGGGAAAGGCAACAACTCACTCGAACAACAGCCGACATTTTTAGGCTAGTTCCTGTTGCTGTTTTTATTTAGTTCCATTCATGGAGTTTTTGCTGCCAGTATTCCTGAAATTGTTTCCAAACTTGTTGCCATCAACCTTCCAGGACAAGATGAAAGAACAGGTACATAGTAATTTGTTTCGAATATCTGCCCAATTTTACATCTTGCTTCACATTTATTGCCATTAATATTGGAATATATAAATAGTAGATATATGTATACATATGTGAAAAAATCTATTTAATTCGTAATAGAGAAACCATGTATTTTTCTTTTTTCTGAACACTCAGCAGTCTCAGGATGGGTTCTCTAGTATCCTAACTATCCACGAGTCTTAAAATACTACTTATTATGTTTCCTAGGCCTTCTGTGGCTTGAGAGTATTTTTGAAGTGATGAAAACCTTCCGTTCATCAAAGAACAACTTCATCTTTAACACAAGATCACTGGTAAGAGAGAGGCGATTCCAAATCCCACTTTCTGTGCATTTGCTCATTCTGGAATCCTTGGTTTTGAACAACATAGCTTGAAGAAATCTTTGTATATATGGAAGTAATCTCCTAGATCATGGTTCGACCTTCGACAACTATTGATTAAATAAAAAACTTGGTGTAATATCAGATGGTGCTCCTGTAGATAAAGGAAGATATCAGAAGCTCATTGGAAGACTAATTTATTTTTCAAATAATAAATCAGAAAGTTCCTAATCAGCAAGTGCAGTCAGTGACGCTCTCCATTACAGCCTCACATAGAAACAATTATAAGAGTTCGGCAATACCTAAAAGCTACGTAGCTCGGACTCGGGGGTGCGGGTATCTGGTACGAGTATGTATCTAAGTATTAGATATTTTATTTTCTAAAATATAGGATACTAGGACATGATTAAAGAGAGTCCAAATTTCGAACACGTGTACGTAGGCACGTCTTTCAAATTTCAATTTTTTTAGTAATTCAAGATGTCATTTTAAATAAACTAAAGTCAATTATTCACAGAGAAGAACATGAGTATTGAATAAGGAGTTAAGACCAATAAAATATAATGTTGATTTAGTTTTCAATTATGGAAATTACTAAAAATTATAGAAAATAGAAAATAAGAGATTTGATTGCAATTTGAACTTAGTGGAGAACTAAGTAGCATTATATGGAACCATTTTCATTTTATACAAACAAAACTCTAAACCATTGATATAGAGAGGGATGGAAGGAAAAAAAGAAGAAAATGGAAAGAAAAAAGAAAGAAGGAAAAAACTAGCACCGTTGCTTTTCTCCACCTACTCAGTGGTGACGCTAAATTTATAGAGAGTAGAAACGGAAAATAAGAAAAGGGAAAGAAAAGGGGAAAAAAAAAAAAGAAAGAAAGAAAGAAAGAAAGAAAGGAGAAGAAGCAAAATGACGAAGTCTTCGGTTGAAACTTGGAGGATCCGACAAATATCCCATATTAATACCCATGTTATATCGTGTCCGACACGAGTACTCCAACTATTTCGAATAGTCCGAGCATCAGAGTCTAAAAGCTACTCCAGAAAAGAATTGCTATATTCTCAAAACGGTCATACAAACATAAAAGCTTATATAAATAGGATGGTTCTATAACTGATGAATAAGAGGTCCACTTCTAGGTATTATAGTTTTGTTGGGGTGATTTAGTTACCTGGAGAAGTAAGAAGCAAACAATGGTAGCTAGATCAAGTGCTGGCACCTGAGATTTGTGAATCGCTACAGATTAAGAAATGTCTAAAGGAGCTAAAAAGAGAGCTTAAAGGTCCTATGAAGCTATATGGTAAGGCAGAGATAAGCATTGCACATAATCCAATACAACATGGCAGAGCAAAACACATTTCATCGAAGAAATGATTATAGTAGAATAATATGCACTCCCTTCGTCTCTTCTAAACTATAATTAGCACATATCTTCACGAAGTGAGTACCTAACCAGGGTTCGCTTAATGATTAGCAAGCTGTGAATGAAGGATGTTTTCGAACCACCTTGGTGGGAGTATTGGCAATCTACAAAGAATCTTGCCCTTGATGTTTTAGGAGTTAATTAGTTGTCTAAGACTATTATAGGGAGTGTTGGATTTATTCGAACCTGTAAATAGACTCTCTAATATTCTTAGGCTTAGACTTTGGGATGTATGTTTGTTTCCTTTCTTAGAATATTTCTTGTGTATAAATATGTAAATTCTTTATGTGAATGAAAAATACAATTGAATTCAAAACCAATAATTTTGACCTGTCAATCTTAATTAAAATGCTTAAGTTTTAGGAAGCCCTAAAAAAGAGGTTGAATGCAAGGATAGAGTACGCAAAGTTTCTTCAAGACACAGTAAAAGAGATGGTGAAGGAAGTTTAAAGCTCAAGTAGTGGGGAAATAAAGAAAACAGCTGAAGATCTTGATGAATTCATGAACAAGGTAAGGATTTCTGTTTCTAAATTCCCATTTATTTGTTTTCACTAATTAGCAATGTCTTGTCTTGTATTTAAACAAGCAAAGCACCTGTCATTTTTTAGTTGTCCTTTCTCTGTATTTTCCTCATTCTGTGATTTACTCTTCGAGAATGTTATACTTTCCCAATTTTAACCAGGTAAGAAAGGGGACTGGCGTCACCAATGAGGAAATTTTAGGATTTGCAAAATTGTTTAATGATGAGCTCACTCTGGATAATATCAGCAGGTTAGTGTTGTGTCTGCACTTGTGTAACCTGGACGCTTTCTGCTGTAACCTTCTTGCTTATTATTTAATCCATAAAATTGTGTACTGTTGGATGCAGACCCCGGTTGGTGAACATGTGCAAATATATGGGTATCCATCCTTATGGTACAGACGCTTATCTTCGTTTTATGCTTCGAAAGAGGCTTCAAGAGTAAGTCATCTTATTTTTCTCTTTCTTTTATCTCTTTCTCCCCACATTTCTCTTTGTGCATTGCCTCTTCTCCTGGTTTAACATTGATACCACTTCTCATTTGGAAAAGGTTCATCTAATCCACTAAGCTTTGTCCATTTGAAACAATTTGGCTTTCTTGTTGCAGGATCAAGAATGATGATAAGATGATCCAAACAGAAGGCATAGATTCCCTTTCTGAGGAGGAACTTCGTCAAGCTTGCCGAGATCGTGGTTTGCTTGGATTGCTTTCAGTAGTTGAAATGCGGCAGCAGGTGTCTTCAATTTTTTTTAAATATTATTCATTTTTATTATAATTTTTTTTATACATTTCAGGTGAACCAACAAATAACAGGGAAATTGCTGTGTAAGAGGTCCAAAATCATTTTAACTATATGGAAAGAAATTGCACAAATTTAATACAACTTAAAACAACTGTTCTATTTTAGCAGAAATGATGAGGCAGTCAAGGCGCCCTAGATATCAAATGTTATGCAGGTGTGAAGCCAGTGGCAGATCCTTGAAGAAGCTAAAATATTAGGAGCACATTTATATAAAAGACTATTACTGAGCTCGTTTTCAGAGAGGAAAGACAGTTTTAAAACTAAATAGCTATAAACATTGGTGACTAGTAATGTCATTGAAACTGATATAGTTTTTTGTCGGTTTTTACTCTGTTTACCAATTTATTTGAATCTCTAATAAATAAAACATAGAATCATGATAACTAAAAAATAACATGACAAGATTCTCAAATCTAGAATGTGTTAGTTGGTTATTCAATGGTAGACAAACAATAAATGTCCATTACCTAAAATAAGAACAGTTCTTTGGCTTATTGTCCTATATTTTCACAAATATAAGGTTAGATTCTTTTATCTTATCTTTTTGAAGAGAATATGGTTGCAATTTATTAGACAGTAATCTTTACTTTGTGTCCTTTACATTTATATGTGGCCTTAACTGAAGATGCATTTTTAATATGTGATGGAGTATGACGAGTCTTATTGTTTTCTGAACCGGCACCATGTAATTTTAAGTTAAAATTCCGTTACATGATCTTGATTGTAAGATGTCACACGGAGTTTTTATCAAAGTACTCAAACTTTCATTTCTCTGCAGATACGCAACTGGCTGGACTTATCTCTCAACCATTCAGTACCATCTTTATTAATCCTTTCTAGGTAACCTCATTTGCTCCTATTTATATGATTTTGAGACGTTGAATGTAAGTAAATTTACTTTTATGTTCTGTGCCTCTTCCAGAGCTTTCAGTGTGTCGGGTAAAGTAAGGCCTGAGGAAGCTGTTCAAGCTACTCTCTCTTCACTGCCTGATGAGGTGGTGGATACTGTTGGTGTTACAGCTTTGCCATCTGAAGATTCTGTGTCAGAAAGGAGGAGGAAGTTAGAATACCTAGAAATGCAAGAAGAATTAATCAAGGTCTGAGTTTGCTGGCTTAGGATTTTGGTGGGTTCTTGTTGATTGCACAAAATGAAGATATGAGGCACGTAAATAAGTTAAAGCTGAGATAAAATTTGACAGCAGATTTGCTGCAGTATCTGATAATTGTTCTTGTACTATAGTTATGGGTACTTTTTTCTCCTTGCAAATAGTATCATCGAACATCTTAATTAATTCAAAAAGAACTATTTTGACAGAAGTAGAAAAACTTTTGTACTTTCAGAAACAATGATCTGTCAACAAAATTGTGGCATTAACAATAAGAATGGAAAATTCTAACGCTGCTTATATTCTGTTGGGCACATTAGATCTAGATCTACTGTACGCACATCTCGTTTCCCTAATATTCCCTTCAAATACATTTAAGTTGTTCCCCCTTCTAACCTACAAGAAAAAATGATTAGTTCTCTCTAACTTTTTTCAATAATGTACTTCTATTTTCTAATCACATTTCTTCTATTCCAAGTTATATGAAATACTTTTGGGTTGTGCTGAGAATGCTAAATGGAAGCAGAATTTCAATTAGATGTGAAACCCCATTCCCATTCATCGTTAGTAATTAGAAAAGAGATGTCCTTGTTATCCAACCCATTTCAAAATATATGAAGAATGTGGAGGGTAGATTTGAAATTAGAAATAGCTGTGGTGAGGGGTGACTTTTTCTAAACTAAGTGCTAAGAGTTCGCATGAGAAAGACTGTGGAATGGAGTATTTTTTTAGTATCATATTTTTGGGTATAAAACTATAAATGTGCTAAAATCATGCTTCAGTTTTGCACGTCCAAAAAATCTGTAACAAGAGTTAATCAATATTTCATAAGGATGTCTATTTTGGTTAAGTTTCAATGTGAGAAGTGTTTTTGATTACACTATTTAAGCTTAGATTGCCATTAATAGTCTTAAAGATGTCAATTACAGGAGGAGGAAGAGAAAGAGGAAGAGGAGCAGGCTAAGTTGAAGGAATCTGTTTATAGGCAGAAGGATATGGCATTGGAGGAGATGAAGATGGCAACAGCGAAAGATACAGAAGACCGTGAAAATGCAAAAACTTTAGATAAGCAAGAACAATTGTGTGAGCTCAGTCGTGCATTGGCTGTTTTAGCATCAGCATCTGTAAGGATTGGATGTGACTTATTCATTTGTGGTTTATATATTGCCCGATGTCAGCCGCTTATATAGTTTGCTGTTTTCAGTCTGTGAGCAGGGAGCGTGAAGAGTTCTTGAGACTTGTCAACAAAGAGGTTATTATAGATAACTGTTTAAAGACTATTCAATTTGATTTTTAATATGTCTAATAACTGGTAGTATATTAATACAGGGCTATTGTTATTCTAGGAACCAATTTTAAAGAGATTGCTGACAACTAAAAATTTGAATTTGGTTTTACCTCGAAGAAAATATCATTAAACATGGTTCTTGATGTTTTCCAGTCTTTTTCTTGAACCGTTATCATCTCTTTTATCTTAGTCTTCAATTTGTTTTCCACTTTTTCCAATTTTGCTTTGGATCCTTCTCATTCTTTTCTTCTATGTTTGGGTGTCTGGACATTCATCTGTTCTTATTCATTTATTTGCACATTATCATTATTAATAATATTTATTTAGGCCCCATTTGATTCCCATTTTCATTAAAATTCATTTCTCTCTCTCTTCTTTTTAACCACGCATTTTCATAACTTTTCCTTACTTTTCATCCACACATTCTCCATTAATCTACTATTCCAAAATTCATTTTTTCCCCAAAATGGGTGTCAAACACCCCCTTAGTATTATTTTAGTCTTATTAGCTATTTTAACATTACTATTTCCATTGAGGGGTGGGTGGTGATGCCCATATTCAATGGTATAGAATTACTCTATAAGTGTGGATACCAAATGATGTTCATTGGTATAGAATTACTCTTCGGTGGTATCGGTTTATGGATTTCGAACCAGTAATTGTATTTGCCATGTAGTTCATTGGTACAGAATTGTTTCGAACCCAGTAAATAAGGTCACTCTTTTATCATCATTGTCTTTCACAAGTAATATGGTAAACTAGGCAAAACTGAATGGATATTAATTCATAGGTAACTTTGGTGAGGGTATGCAAGTGTAATCGATAACCTTTTTTGCACTTTATCAGTCTCATGTAAAATTGCTTCATTCCCTGTTAAATTCCAAGTTCAGTCAACATATTAACATGTCTGAAATTGTTTTCTAGAATACTTGACCATTTATAGAAAGAGAAAATGATAATTTTGCATTTTTATGTTTAGCAAGGTGAATTTTGAGCTGCAGATCTAGCCCGTCGTGATATGTTTTTACTGAAAATATCTCATTTGCAGATAGAGTTATACAATAGCATGGTGGAGAAAGAGGGCACTGAAGGAGAAGAAGAAGTGAAACTGGCATATAAAGCAGCTAGAAAGGAGAATGACCTTGCTGCTGAGAGAGCCACGGATGATAAAGTTTCCTCAGCACTCATAAACAGGGCAAGTGCAATATAGATAATCTATTTTAATATAATTTGTTTTCCTATTAAAAACCTAGTTGCATTTGCGATCAATACGTGAATTATTTTATGCTCGTTCACATTTCAGGTTGATGCCATGCTTCAAAAGCTCGAAAAAGAAATTGATGATGTTGATGCAAAAATTGGTGACCGGTGGCGATTGCTTGATAGGTATGAGTGAAGTTTCCAATGGTTGAATTGAAGATTATTGTTCGACTTTTAAGGGATCTTTTGAAGGATAGTAGCATGTCATTTTTAGATTCTTCCTTTGCAGTTACTTCATTTTATTACTTTCATACAACTATTTTGATTTTTCACTTAAAGATGGGCTCGATCTAACCTGTGAACCTCACTCGAAAGGGAGATTGCTAGGTCCATTTCTGGGCCATAATTTATTAGAAATTATTATGTAATTCTCTTCTCCAGAGTTCTACAGAGAGGGCAAAAAAATTGTCCAGAACATATGAACCATCAATGCCTTTAACTGACATAAGAGCTACAAAATTACGTATTGCCTTACCGATCAAAAAATTATAAAGACCGATCAAAAAAAAAAAAAATTACGTATTGCCTTTTCCAAACCACATCTTTGAATAGATAACACGGTAGACTTCGAAACAATGCCTTGACTACAGAGTACGGAGTAAGAATTTCTTCTATCATTTGCTGCAATAAACTCATTGAGTCGCTCATCTTCATCTTCTCTTCGCAGGTACGCATTTCGTACTATTTTTTGGTCGATCATTTCTTTTGTGTGTTTGATACGTGAATTAATTATATATTTTCGTTGATTTTCGCGTTGGCGTGTGTGTGTGTTGTGTATAGTCTGCTGTATGCACATAAAGGTGTATATATTATGTGCAATGAATATACCATCGTTATTTTAGATTCTAATGTTAGCATCATACAATTTTAAGTATGAATTTATTGTCTAAAGATTCATTGTGCGAGCAACTGAATAATTGAACGATATAGATTAGTCACATTTTCTTCACTGTAATGAATATAACGCTCTGTTTTTCAAAATTGATTTTATAAGCTCGTGATTGTTAGTTAATAGTCATAAGAAAATAATGGTAAGAGTTAAATAGAGAGAACAAAAAATTCTGCTACAGAGGTGAATTTCATATCCATGTTCTTGTGAAGACAACGGAAGAGGAACTTTCTTGGATTACTTGCTGTTATGAAACTAAAATTTTTAAAAAATATTATTTGAACATTGAGAAAGAGTACCGGCAACAGTGATCTATTGCAGGAGCAGAGCAAATTACTAATCTCTAAATTTGATCTTTAGTCACCTTTTTTCTTATGAGTTGAGGTGTAGGATTAGACCTCGAAGTCATATTGGAGAATAAACAAAATTGAATTCGATTCAACATAATAGGTTAGTAATTTAAACATTGACTATTTACTCTGCCTTTGAAAAATGATCAGTAGAAGCAAATAATTTCCATGTTCCATTGTGATTTAGTATTTACAATTAAAGTTCATAAACTTTTGAATGGAATTTAGAAATAAAAATAGAGAAGTGTCCAATAGAGCATTCATAAATTTTAAACAATAACACTGTGTGTTTGAACTGGAAATCAATCTTTGCAAATGAATCTAAAAGTTGGAAGATTTGGAACTGGGTCCTTTGTGTACCATTATACAGCTATTTGTATGATCTAGTTTTTGTAGGCTTAATGAACTACAAAAAATATTCTCAATGAAATTAAGGCCATTGAAAGAAGGAAGAAATCTGAGCTAAAAGATAGTGTGAGAGGACAAGCAGTTGATAGTGCTGAAATGGTCTATTGTGGAACACACAAAAGATTTTGAAAAAACATCATAACAGTAAATTAGAGAAGTTATCTTGTTCTCCAAACTGATTTTTTCCCCAGTTTTTATGCTTTAATTAATTATAGACTTGCTATGCAGTGTGTTGTTCACTGTTGTCCAAACTGGCTGTAGTCATACATCAACAGCTTGTTCAATTATGCTATCCTAGCTGTGTGCTAAGGTTGAGAAGTCTTTCAAAATGGCTTCAAGAGCAATATTGCGAAGAAAACGTTATCTTTTTTATTCCCTTAATCGGACCTCTAACTTGGTCCATCTAGGGTGCCTGATTCATGGAACAGGAGCTGCGTTGTGAGTTATTCATCTTCAAATGGAGATCACACGGCCAAAGAAGATTCAAACTCTCTAACCAAAGATGTGGCACCCTCTACATTGACAGCTGGAATTATTTGGCATAGGTTTTCTGAGGCTTCAACACTGAGTTATGAAATCAGAAAACCAGGGGTTCTTTTTCCCCTGGCATTGGGGTGGAAAAAAGAATATGCACATTATTATTCGACTGCTGCAGCAGGCCAGCCTGAATTTAATAGTGACGATGATAAGAATGAAGAACCAAAGATTAAGCAGAAAAGGGAAGCTTCACCTGAGGAATGTGACCAGGCAGTTGAAGGTTTGAGCACAGTCAAAGCCAAAGCGAAAGCCAAGGCCAAGCAGCTGCAAGAATCACAGAAGCGTGCTGAATCTGTACTGAGGAAAATGTGGGCTATGCTTTTAGGGATTGGTCCAGCTTTTAGAACTGTTGCTTCTATGAACAGGTAAAGTTTTTGTGTTCTTGTTTTTTAATGCTGAAATACTAGTCTTTAGTATCTCTTACTAAGTCCTTGTCTTTATTCAGGGAAGATTGGGCAAAGAAGTTTCAACACTGGAAGGATGAGTTTAAATCAACATTGCAACATTACTGGTTGGGTACGAAGCTACTTTGGGCTGATGTTAGGATAAGCTTAAGGCTGTTGCTGAAACTTGCTGATGGGAAGACTCCATCCAGGAGGGAAAGGCAACAACTCACTCGAACAACAGCTGACATTTTTAGGCTAGTTCCTGTTGCTGTTTTTATTTAGTTCCATTCATGGAGTTTTTGCTGCCAGTATTCCTGAAATTGTTTCCAAACTTGTTGCCATCAACCTTCCAGGACAAGATGAAAGAACAGGTACATAGTAATTTGTTTCGAATATCTGCCCAATTTTACATCTTGCTTCACATTTATTGCCATTAATATTGGAATATATAAATAGTAGATATATGTATACATATGTGAAAAAATCTATTTAATTCGTAATAGAGAAACCATGTATTTTTCTTTTTTCTGAACACTCAGCAGTCTCAGGATGGGTTCTCTAGTATCCTAACTATCCACGAGTCTTAAAATACTACTTATTATGTTTCCTAGGCCTTCTGTGGCTTGAGAGTATTTTTGAAGTGATGAAAACCTTCCGTTCATCAAAGAACAACTTCATCTTTAACACAAGATCACTGGTAAGAGAGAGGCGATTCCAAATCCCACTTTCTGTGCATTTGCTCATTCTGGAATCCTTGGTTTTGAACAACATAGCTTGAAGAAATCTTTGTATATATGGAAGTAATCTCCTAGATCATGGTTCGACCTTCGACAACTATTGATTAAATAAAAAACTTGGTGTAATATCAGATGGTGCTCCTGTAGATAAAGGAAGATATCAGAAGCTCATTGGAAGACTAATTTATTTTTCAAATAATAAATCAGAAAGTTCCTAATCAGCAAGTGCAGTCAGTGACGCTCTCCATTACAGCCTCACATAGAAACAATTATAAGAGTTCGGCAATACCTAAAAGCTACGTAGCTCGGACTCGGGGGTGCGGGTATCTGGTACGACTATGTATCTAAGTATTAGATATTTTATTTTCTAAAATATAGGATACTAGGACATGATTAAAGAGAGTCCAAATTTCGAACACGTGTACGTGGGCACGTCTTTCAAATTTCAATTTTTTTAGTAATTCAAGATGTCATTTTAAATAAACTAAAGTCAATTATTCACAAAGAAGAACATGAGTATTGAATAAGGAGTTAAGACCAATAAAATATAATGTTGATTTAGTTTTCAATTATGGAAATTACTAAAAATTATAGAAAATAAGAGATTTGATTGCAATTTGAACTTAGTGGAGAACTAAGTAGCATTATATGGAACCATTTTCATTTTATACAAACAAAACTCTAAACCATTGATATAGAGAGGGATGGAAGGAAAAAAAGAAGAAAATGGAAAGAAAAAAGAAAGAAGGAAAAAACTAGCACCGTTGCTTTTCTCCACCTACTCAGTGGTGACGCTAAATTTATAGAGAGTAGAAACGGAAAATAAGAAAAGGGAAAGAAAAGGGGAAAAAAAAAAAAGAAAGAAAGAAAGAAAGAAAGAAAGGAGAAGAAGCAAAATGACGAAGTCTTCGGTTGAAACTTGGAGGATCCGACAAATATCCCATATTAATACCCATGTTATATCGTGTCCGACACGAGTACTCCAACTATTTCGAATAGTCCGAGCATCAGAGTCTAAAAGCTACTCCAGAAAAGAATTGCTATATTCTCAAAACGGTCATACAAACATAAAAGCTTATATAAATAGGATGGTTCTATAACTGATGAATAAGAGGTCCACTTCTAGGTATTATAGTTTTGTTGGGGTGATTTAGTTACCTGGAGAAGTAAGAAGCAAACAATGGTAGCTAGATCAAGTGCTGGCACCTGAGATTTGTGAATCGCTACAGATTAAGAAATGTCTAAAGGAGCTAAAAAGAGAGCTTAAAGGTCCTATGAAGCTATATGGTAAGGCAGAGATAAGCATTGCACATAATCCAATACAACATGGCAGAGCAAAACACATTTCATCGAAGAAATGATTATAGTAGAATAATATGCACTCCCTTCGTCTCTTCTAAACTATAATTAGCACATATCTTCACGAAGTGAGTACCTAACCAGGGTTCGCTTAATGATTAGCAAGCTGTGAATGAAGGATGTTTTCGAACCACCTTGGTGGGAGTATTGGCAATCTACAAAGAATCTTGCCCTTGATGTTTTAGGAGTTAATTAGTTGTCTAAGACTATTATAGGGAGTGTTGGATTTATTCGAACCTGTAAATAGACTCTCTAATATTCTTAGGCTTAGACTTTGGGATGTATGTTTGTTTCCTTTCTTAGAATATTTCTTGTGTATAAATATGTAAATTCTTTATGTGAATGAAAAATACAATTGAATTCAAAACCAATAATTTTGACCTGTCAATCTTAATTAAAATGCTTAAGTTTTAGGAAGCCCTAAAAAAGAGGTTGAATGCAAGGATAGAGTACGCAAAGTTTCTTCAAGACACAGTAAAAGAGATGGTGAAGGAAGTTTAAAGCTCAAGTAGTGGGGAAATAAAGAAAACAGCTGAAGATCTTGATGAATTCATGAACAAGGTAAGGATTTCTGTTTCTAAATTCCCATTTATTTGTTTTCACTAATTAGCAATGTCTTGTCTTGTATTTAAACAAGCAAAGCACCTGTCATTTTTTAGTTGTCCTTTCTCTG